ATGCACCGAGCCGCATAAACCAACGTTCATCCTCCTTCGCTCATAGAGTGAAACTCTTTGCTAGCGTCTGCTGTGCATTCCCTCACTGTAGGCGTGTTCAAGAGACGTCTGGATAATCACGTCTTAAAGGCCACCCCAAACAGTCAACTGCTTCCTAACATAACCTGATTACAACCGACCCTACATTTACATTAACCTTCGCTCCGAGGAGTACTTCATGGTGGAAATGGAGTGGACGTGTTCTACGCTGCTAGTTCGCAAAGGCCTCGGTTTTTCAAACATCATATTTTTCAAATATTTTTATGCATTGTTGCGCAACAAACCAACCTGCAACGATTTTTGCAGATTCAAAACCTTTTTATGGATTCCTGTACCGTTTCAATGGAATTTTTAAGGGCTCCTGTCATTTACTCTAAATGCACTGACTGACTGAGAGAAAAGAAAGGACTGCATAAAAGAGTGGAGGCAATGCACAAAATGCGCAGAATACCCCGAATATCCGGTTCACTGAAGGGCCTCGCAGGATTTAGGCAGGGGCTGCGACTGGAGGGCGGTTGGGAGTTGAGGGGCAGGGTGCCAACACGCGAGACCGTCCCACTGAAGGTGCGAACTCCATCCAGATGCAGCTGTACGAGACGGGTGTCCGTTGGAAAGGGGAAGGGTTCACAGGCGGTTGTGCGTACTGGCCCACGAAGTCTAACATGAAGCAAAAAAGGAGATAGAGTTTAGAAAGATCCAAATGCTACATCAAAGCAGGCAGCCGTCATCAGCAAGCCAGCCATGCCCTAGCCCAGGTGGTGCACCAACCGAGCCTCGAACTCACGAATTTTTTGATCGGAGACTAACAGTCTAACCATTAGGCCACGAGCTCGTTTTCTAGTCGGTTTAGGTCGGGAGATATTAACACTACTCGTTAGTGAGCGTTCACCCGACCGCTAATAAGCCAAAAATGGCCTTTCCAGTCTCCCTTGTCTTTGACGGAAAAACCACCTACCCATAAACACACACGTCTTTTGCGGCTGCCTGACGCAGTTGCGAGGGTTTCGGACCAAACGTTCC